TAGACTCCTCAGATAATAGCCCTCGTCCTGCTTGAACAAACATGCTGTTTAAAAGGTGAGGAGGTTTACTGCGGCGTGACTACAAGGATAGGACAGGGGAGTTGCACACACATACACACATCCACAACCTTTGCTTTATACACACACTCTTTAATGAATGTGTGCACAAACTCTGAAGTGAGGTGGAAGCAGCCTTGAGAGGTTAGACAAGCAGGTTTATGGCCGGAAGATGGTTTGTTTGAATACTAGACATTTGATGAAACGTGGTATAATAGGCTTCTATTTTTGCTGCAAAAACTACCGCTGATGTGCCCTTGAGCAAAGCACTTAACGTGACTAAAACAACAGAAACAGAATAGACCAGGTGGATGTCAGGTTTCGGATACTGTGTGCATATGTGAAACAATAAGTATAAGAAATAAGGCTGACAACATTTCTGAGCGAAATTGATATCAGAACAGCCCCGCAGAAAAGTATCTATTGTTATGTTTCTACAGAATAATAGAAAGGAGAAAATAACTATAATGCATGAAATCAACTTTTAAGGAAATTAACAGTCTAAGGCTATGTGGAAAACTTTTACAACCTTTAAATTAGCGTTAATTTGGCTAAATTGGTGTTTGAGAGTTACACAGTAACATTAGCATAGCATTGTCCTCAGGTGAAGGGGCAAAGGAGCATACGAGTGACTTTGGGAGGTACTGACAAAGAATGAGAGCCAGCTTAAAAGAATTTCAGGCTACAAAAAAGGAATGACCTCTTATGTCTTTTTTTACCACTTTTCCTTGACATTGATGAAAAGAGTCCTCAGATCAAGGAAAGGAAAAGACAACTTTTGTGCTAAACGAACCCACACATACACTAGGCTACTTAATTATGCAATAACAGATCTTAAAAACATTATTCTACCTCTCCTCGTTCCTCTACAGGTTCTACGATGAGATAGGAACTCCTCTACTGTCCGACATCAGGATCAACTACACCGAGGACTCGGTCCAGTACGTCACTCAGCATCTGTTCACCAACTACTTCAACGGCTCTGAGATTGTCATCGCCGGCAAGCTTACCAACGACAGCGTGGAATCGCTCCACGTCCAGGTTACAGCCAGCAACAATGACAAGAACATCATCCTGGAAACCGACATACCTCTTCGGAACCGGCAGATCGAGACTGAGAAACATGTGAATGCAGCCAGAGTAGCAATGGCGTCTGGCCCTAAAACACCAGCGTCAGGGGTCACACATGGATTAGGAATTGCTTTGGGTTCGATAGCGGAAGACTTTGTGGAGCGCGTCTGGGGTTTCCTGAGCGTTAAGGATGGGCTACGGTCACGTCTACGCAGCAAAACTAGCAAAGAAAGAGAAGACCACATCAAGCAGGCAACCAATCTTTCTCTGACCTACAACTTCCTCACCCCCCTCACCAACATGGTGGTGGAGAAGCCCGAGGTCCTCGCTGATGGCACCATGGCCCCGACGCCAACCAGACCCCCATCATCTGGTGACGCTGTCTCAACTGTCAATGAGCTGCCAAGTGACGTAGAGGATGAAGAGCCACAGAGAGACGACAAAAAGCCAAGCAGTCAGAATCTATCTCTAGGCAACAAGATAGGTAAGGTCGTTCTTCAAGTTCTGGTAGTAAGAGGTATCCAAAAACTGTCTAAAGTGGGATTCAAACTGAAATTGTTTTGGGAATGAAATCCTCACGGTGGATCTGATAAGTTGGTCATTTGCAGAGAGGAAGCCTCAAACAATGGCTGCCATCTCAATCATTTCAATGGTAATTTTTCCTTGCAGGTAAAGTTGAGAGAAGACCAGACAAGAAATCCATCACCATCTCCAAAACATCAGGTGACTCCTCATTCCCTCTCTCATGTAAACAGTTTTACATCTGATGCCCTCTGAACCCTATATACCATAAGCACATATGCAGTGGTTAAAAGACTCCAAAAGGAGACTTGAAAGAGAGAAGAGGGGGAATATACAGTAGACTCTCTCTCTAAACTCTGTGTGTGGGCGGCCTGTAATTTGGATGTTAGTCAGACAGTCTAAAAGATGCCTCTGAACATGACCTGAATAGAGGAACACACAGGGTCTAATTGAAATACCAACACCAGCACTACCTGGCACTTTAAACATGCAAGTGCGTGTCCAGCAACGCACACACTGCGGTCGAATGGGATGGACTTAAGACATGAGAAGTGGATGCTGTTTGTGCATGTGTTACAGCAAAGAGAGGGACCCCATCAGAGGCAGTAAGTGAGGGCTAATGACCCCCTCATTACTGTGGCTCTCTATTCATCTTCGCTGGTTCTCACAAGCCTAAGGAGAATCCAGCAAGAATATATAAACTATCCTATGAAAACCAATATGAACAGCGAAGAAACATTACCAAATTAAAGAGCTGCTTGTGAGACATTGACTTTCATATATTAGGTAGAGGTTTTACAGAATTGTCAAAAGATTAAAGTGATGAGTCTTATTAGTCAAATGAAAGCCTAAAGGTGTCAAATATTGTATAAATTATATACTTTATGGTAAGTGTAATAACTTGCAACATCCATCTTCCTGTATACTCTTACATGAAACTGTCTTGTTTCACATAACATAACGAGTATAATCTAAAAAAATCACTTCACGCAATCCACCTTAAGTCGGCTTGTTATAATTCTGATCCTTTTTGCGGTTTTAGAATGCACTTTAATATTTCTTTCTCTCTTAACCTTTAAACGTCCTCAGCTGACGGTGACCCCCATTTTGTGGTGGAGTTCCTGATGAGTAAACTGACGGTTTGCTTCAACATCAACGGAGAGCCGGGACACATCCTGCGTCTGGTGTCCGACCACAAGAACTCTGGTAAGACGTCCACAGATTAAACCATTGTTTCACATTAAAAATATAATTATGTTTGCATTGGGTGCGGACTGCCAATGTGGAAGCGAAACTGAGGAACTAAATATTAAACACAAAAATGAAAATACTTTGGTAGAGTACCTGCAGTACTTAAGTAAATGTATTTTGTTACATTCCACCACTGGTTGGGTGTTAATTTCTGTTATTTGTCTACAGGTGTGACAGTGAACGGTAAGCTAATCGGTGCCCCAGCTCCACCCGGCAGCCACAAGAAGCAGCGCACGTATTTCAGCACTATCACCATCGTGGTGGATCTTCCGAAACGCGCCTATATCGAGGTGACCCCTAAGAAGGTCATCCTGGATGGGCGGGACCGGATGGTGCTGCCCTGCCACTCCACGGTGTCCGTGGACAGCGGCGTTCTGTCAGTGTCCATCGTGGGAAAGTCTAACGTGACGGTGACGGTCGGAGGAAACGTCATGTTCGTGATTCTGCTGCATCAGTACAAGAATCCAGCCTCATACCAGAGGGACCATCTAGGGTTTTACATCGGAAACAGCAAGGGGCTGTCGCATCAGTGCCACGGCCTGCTGGGTAGGAGACAATGAGCTTTAGTTATTGTTTTGACTGAGCGTTTGGTAGGACAGATATGATCCATCATTTAACAATAAAAACATAAAAGCGTAGAGCCCTAATTTCAGCTCATAAAAGCAAACTTGTAGGGTATGTCAGACAATATTATAGCGTCAGTAAAGTGCCACAGGATCCAGTAATATAAATATGATTAGGAAAAAGGTTATGAGTTCTGTTGAGTAGTGTTCAATTGGGGTGGACTTGTATTAGTTTCTGCTGAAATAAATATTTATTTAGTAGGTTAAGCCAAGTCATGGTAGGTAGACCACCATGAGCGTACATTTGACGGTTCATCCACTGAAACCATGGTGTTTTTCTTGAATCCACCTTTATTGCCAGAGATGGATTTCAGTTAAAAATTCTGAATTGAATGTCACATTGCAGAACTGTATTTTCCTACAAGCAAATTGACACCAAATCCAGAGGTAACTGGCAGGCCTTCAAAGACTCATGACTCATCAGTCAAACTCTGAGACTTGAACCTTTTGATTCATTTCTTCTTTCAGGTCAGTTCCTGTATGAGGAAGTGGGCCTGGCAGAGCTTCCTGCGGAGGCAGACAGTGAACCGTCGCCCGTCCTGAAGGTGAAGGAGCGCTCTGTGCCGGTGGTGAAGAAAAACCGGAAGATCTTCAGCGGCACTCAGAACGTGGACTGCTGGTTCGCTCGCAACAATGCAGCCAAGCTGATAGACGGACAGTACGAGGACTATTTGATGTCACACATGTTCGACACGGGGGACTGGCCACACGGGACCAACACAGCATAAACTGTAGCATACATCTTTTTACTCTGTATCCATATCACATCTCAGCAAATATTTCCAAACTTCACATTTCAGTTTTCTGTCTCACTTTTGAATATATTTTTGTACTATTTCTAAGGAAAATGTAATGTTTTATATTGTATTATGTGTATTATTTTTTGTGTAATATTGTTATTGTAAATAAAAACCAACTAAACCCACATGCAATGATTTTACTTTGGTGTAAAATGGTGCCCACATTAACGGGAATTAAATTATAAATATAGAATAAAAACAATTAATGATATAAATTTTTTTATGGAAAAGCTTCCAATAAATCTAAATACAAGACTTTTTTTAAGTGTGCATTATACCAGAATGTAAAGCTGAAAAGCTGTGCAATTAAAAAAACAAAAAAAACATGTATTTTGCACTCATCTGGGAATGCATGTTTTTCTCACACCCCAAATATGTATGTTGGCATTTCCTAAACGTGGCGACATTGAGGTAAGGATCACACCTGGTTACCACGGGGACTGGTAACAACCCCCTTGTCCCAGCGCCAATGACTAGATGCACGGCTAACACACATAACACATAAACACACAAACACACACAGCTCCATGGAGCTCCCTGTCATCAGCTGCAGGTCACAGGGCCGATGGCCCCGCCCACACAGGTGTGCTGTGGCCAGGTACATGCTCAGGATGTTTGTCATCACGTTTCCCCCCCCCCCCGTTGCACCCGCAGGAATTCAATACCAAACACCAGCTCATGTGTCAATCATCTTTATTCACAGAGCAGATTAAAGAGATTCATTCAGCACTTTCTGTTATTGACAGGGCGTGCCTTTTCATACACATGTTCATCATTTGGTTTATTACAAAACATACACAAGGTACAATGGAATACAAAATAAAACATTCAGCCAAAGTATGTCATACCTTTTGGCTTTTAAGACGTAAATGTGTTCAGGAGAATTATTTTTCCACCTTTTAAAATACTACCATTTCTGATATTCACAAAAAAACGTTCAATGTTGTTACCACATGTCAAACCACAATTTACTGTAAAATACATACAAAATATAAACAGAATAAATCTAATAAATGTGCAATCATTTGCAAAAGTTTAATACACAGCTACAGTATGATCCCACTGAGAGCATTACAAGTATTAGGGCAATTCTTAATGCAAAAGAAATCTGAGATTTTAAGAATAAAGTCTGAATACTTTGAAATGAGTTGGAAATGTTATAGGTTTGATTTAAAAATAAAATTCTAACATACATTTAAAAAAAAAAAAAGGATTTTTTAAAATAAATATGCTTATTTGCATTCTTGCCAAAGACTGTCACCATCTATATGGCATATCTGATAGTTAGAAATGAGGTGACAGTCAGAAGTTTGTTAGCTTAGCATAAAGATTGTAAACCGTGGAAAACCGCTAGCCTGCTTCTTTACAAACGTAGCAAGTTCAGAAAGCCAAGATATAGTCCCCAATGTATCTCTTTCCCCTATGTACCTCTTTGTGAAAGTGTACAGATAAACAAGATGTAGTGAATTAATATGCATTTAGTTATCTTTGGACAGAGCCAGGCTAGCTGTTTCCACCTGATTCCAGTTTGTATGCTAAGCTAAGCTAATCAGCTGTAGCTTCGTATTTTGATTACAGACATGAGAGTAATAATCATCATCTCTTAAGGAGACTCAAGCACACATTCAGGGAACTGACGCTGAAATATAACATTATTCTAGAAAGATCCAGAATGATTTCCCCTAAAGAATCATGACATTTGTCTCGTGCAGTTATGACTTTATAATCCCAATGTTTCCTTTTTATTCTTTAAAACATTTCTAGCTTTTTGGCAAAATGTTCCTACATTATTCAAAAGAAATAGGGGGTTTCTTCCCAGATATGAACATAAATGCAGCACATAGTGTGACTTGGTCCTTTAAACCTTTTTTAAAAATGATTACATTTCCTTCAACATATATAAAAAATGTTTAAAAGCAACCTGTTGGATAAGGCTAAGTTTTTCCATAAAACCACTGCTTTCAACATGTTCGGTCCTTCATGATTGCAGCACCCAAACACAAAACCACATAGGCTTCATAGGCTTCATCGTTAAAACTATTAACCATCTTTTTTTAAACTAAAAGTAAACAGCCAGAGGGAGAGCGCGCCGGAATGACTATAATCACGCCTTAATTAAAAAGGTGGATTAAAGTGATTATATTTGACAGAGTAAATGTTATATATGAATACTTTGCTCACCTCTTTGGAATATGATACACGATAAATTATTCTCTTTAGGGCAACATCAATCCCAAAAGTCCCCAGCGTGGAGATAGATTTATTTCAGTCTTTGTCATTACCCCCCGCACATTTATCCCCGCGGCGCTGCCCTCCTTAATAATCTCTCTCCACACACGCTCAGTTGTGGTTACTCAGATGTTCTCTTGCAGCAAACAGAGGCAGCAAGGTGAGAGGATGAAGAGCTTCCAAAGAATGCTATAAGATGTACATGCATACACTGAGTAAAGCTCAGAGCAGAGGAAGGCAGCTGAGGCTTCCCATTCACAGGTTATACGACCTTTAATTGTGCCTTCTCTTACATGGAAGCTGATATTTAGAGCTTTGAGGAGTTAAGGAAGCCAGGGTTGTTTTGGGTTTGCTCATATTTAGGCTCTTAAGAGTGTGTTGTGTGTGGATAGCATCACCTGGGGTTACACCACCACCCAGCTGGGTCTCAGCGGTCCTCCAGAATACTGCACGTGAGGAAGTGGTCCGCTATTGTCCTCCTCCCCCTCCGAAGCCTCGTCTGTGTCCGTCTCCACGCTCAGCAGCACCTGAGGGAGGAAAGAAGATGTGTTCAGATCTCTTACTTCCATTACTTTGTAAACTGCAGCTGGATTCAGAGTGGATTGATTCGTTGATTTGTATTGCGTATTAGCCAATAATCTGAATCTGTAAAGTAACTAAAGCTGTCAGATAAGTGCAGTGAAGTAAAAAGTACAATATCAGCATCTAAAAGGTAGTGGAGTAGAGGTATAAAGTAACTAGGATTACATATACTCAGGTAGAGAGAACAAGTACATCAAAAAGGTACTTAGTGAATGAAAGGGTCTTGTAAGTTAAATACTGTCAGTAATGCTGGGAGTTTAGACCCTGCTTATAACTTATAAAAAAGTTAAAATGTTCTACAGAGGCGATGGTGGTATCTGCTTTTTGACATGTATCTATTGAAATAAGCGTCAACATTTCACAAAATGTGGACTAGACCACAGACAGGCATTGGATACAATACAGCAAAGTTTTCATCAATACCTTGGTCCATCTTTGTATCAGTTAAACAGAGGAAGATATATTGGATTTATTTGCAGCCTAGAAGAAGCTCTGCTGCTGCAGCAGCAGGGATTCAAATCCCAAAGGATAGAAATTCCACAACTATATAACGTTTACGGCATCATAAACCTCCATATGTCGTTTTATGTTTGGGTTTGACATGTGGGAAAGATCTTATATAGACTGAGTTGCAGAGCAGTACCAATTCAGATAATCGGATAAAGAGAAAACGTGCAAACATGTCTCATACAGAGCATACTAGCACTAGGGATGCAATAATCCAGATCTTCACAATTGGTACTTTTTTTTTTCTTTCTCAATGTCTTTCTCAATGTTATAAAAAACACATTTTATGCAGTTTTCTTATTTTTATAATCATTAGTTGAAGCCCTAAAGCAATACAATATGATGCCATCATGCACTTATGGACTGTATTTAAGTCACTTTATGATTGCTAATATGTCTTGTATTTTAAATGAATCAATGCAGGGGGGATAAGCGTGTGTAGCGATTGACTTTCTTCCTTGCAACAAGCTCCACACCCAGCAACAACAACAGCAACAACAACAGCATTGTGACTTTATCTTCGCCCACCATCCCCACTGAGACCTCTTCTGAGAGAAAGCCCCTCTATGTGTCCTCCTCTTCTACTTCACCCCGCTTTCCATAGCATCAGCGCATGGAAACAAGTCCTAAAGGTCACTTTTATTCCCGGGATGAAGGCTGGATTTATAGCTGACTGGCAGAGGATAAGGGAGAAGGAAAGAGAAGGGGGAGGGGGAGGGGGGGGGTAAACACGAGGGTCATGCTCCCAAACTTTAATTTGTCCTGACGTCTGTCAGTTACATCTGAGGAGCGAGATAAATGGCTTCTGTGTGGAGGAGGAGGGGTCTGCTGAAGTGAGTCCCTGAACACAACACCAGGCCTGTCACTGTTTCACAGCTAAACCAGCACTCAAACCAAAACAGGAGCAGATTGAAAAGTCTGAACAGGTGCGATGCAACAGTAATATTCCAGTTAGATTACAGCGGTTTCCAGGTACTTTTGTAGAATTTCATCATTCTCTATCTCTTTCCCTTTGTGTGTATTCGCTGTAATCCATGCAAACAAATAAAAAAGGTAAAAATATTCCTTTGATTTACTTAAGTAGAGTGGTGCAGGAATGAGTCCTAAAACCCGGGAATGGATTAGCGTTTTAGCTTTCTCAAGTCAATGTCTTTTTTAAATGGGTGAACAGTATACATGTTTTCATTCTTACAAGGGAATGTAACCTCGAAGGTGAACACGTGTGTGTGCGTGAGGGTGTGTATTATGTGTTTTATTCGTACCCTTGACTCCTCGCTGTTGGCCCAGGGCAGCATGTCACCCTTCTTCACTTCACAGGAGTCGTCCAGGCTCTTCATCGTTTTGTACTTCCTCATCATCAGACTGTCCACCACCCAGAACATGATGGACTGAAGGGGGGGAGGGGGGTGTAATGTAACGTGATGTAATTATTACAAACATTGACATATAATACAAGGCAATGTGGCAACTAGATAATGAAATGGAATACTCACGTTAACTATGAATGGCACAATGAGCATGACCAGCACCAGCTCCAGCTGAGGGCTAGCAATGTAGCCTAGCAACACCTCCTGCAGCTGGAGGAGAAGAGAGGAGAGATTAACACTGACATCTGGTGATTCAAAGGTGCTGAGGGAGGAGAAGCTCTTGTGACAATTAACTAACTTTTGGTTTCAATAAAGAGCCTTTGGATACCATAATCTAACAGTGGTTATAAAACATAACACACCTTATATTGTTCAATCTACTTCGCTTCAAGTCATGGGGCCATGATTAATAACACGCCTTTTATTCCTTACAAGGTAATCTGTTGCTGTGACAAAGATTAGTTTGAATAGACAAATATGAACCCCAGTGTCACAAACACAAACCATCTTACAAATACATAACATATGTTTGCATTAGAATACAAAATGTCCACTGGTTTCTTAAAAGTTACAATAAAGAAAAGAGACCCCGTTATTCAGTTGAATTTAAGTGAAATTCTACGCATATTCTCCCATTTCGTCCTTTGTTTTTGTCAGAAAGTCTATGGGATTTTCCCTCCTGCCACCAGTATGTAATGTCACTGGTTGGCGTATTTCCCATAGCACCTGAAAGCAGCATGAGTTGCTCTTACTTTGGACCATCCTGGGACGAGCAGCACGAGGCTGATCACCCCTTTCTCCAGCACCATGATGAGCAGGTAGATGCCGCACTGACCGAGCCACGCTGCCGCCTGGGGGGGGTCCCCTGCAGGAGAGGGGGGGGGAAACATCAGATAAACCTCATATATATATATACACACACTTATTAACATATTTCAAGGGAATTCTGCCAACATCACTACCACTTTATTTAGTGAAATTATACATTCTAATTGTACGTTTGTATTCCTTATTTATATTATTTATTTTACTTTCATTTTATTAACTTTATTGAATACACAGCTACAAATATTTATTATATAATATCATATTATTGACTGTGGCCAACCAGAATTATTACATTAAATTGTTTTTAATTGTTTGTTTTTTTTCATTAAAGGGAACATTATTCCTATATATGATATTATTTTATTTGGACAAATTATTATTTTCATATTTTTCATATTATTATTTTATTAATATCTCAACTCATAATATTTTGATCACATTTTTGCATGACATATTCAGTATAAAAATCAAGGTAGATTTTCTACTTAAAGCCGATTTGCAAAATAATCTGTAACATTAACATAATTCCACTGAAACGCTTCACTTCAAACGACTATTCTCAAGATAAATAATGCATTTTGATGCTCTATTTAATATAATTTTAGAGAAGTAACAATGATGTATTTACTCCAGTGCAGGAGCTTCAGTTATCCAACTATCTAAACTCTTGCTTGTAAAATGATACTAACTGTTTCGCATCTTGAGTAGGATAAAAACCGGAAGCTTTCCAAAGGTAACACAGGTGTCTCAGCACAGCAGACACAAAAGAAGACAAGTCTGTCATTAAGACAGGAAGGAGGGAGGAGAAAGACAAAAGGACAGAGAGGAAAAAGAGGGGAAAGAAAGAAACCAGTACTCAAATATAAACTGGACCCTGGTAATAAGAGAAGCGTCTTAATCACAGACCTAAATCAACCTCGCAAGTTGTTTTTGTGAAGTTTTCCGTCTCAGAAGGAAGGAATGCAAAATCAAAAACAACAGTAGAGTGAGCTAGTGTAATAATTGGCGTGGAGTTAATCCCCCTCTGAAGACACTGGGGATGTTTTCCGGTCCAGAGGCAGCAGCTGGAGACTGGCTCTCCTCCCTTACTGCCCGCTGTGGGTCTCCAGCACCCTCCAGTGGCGGAAACTGTAACTCCTCTTGCATTATGGACTTTAAAAGGTCACCTATCATGCTATTTTTAGGTAATGGCATAGGTCTCAGATATATACAAAAATATAAAAAACATGTCTATGAAGTGTTTTGGTCAAAAAACCAAACTGATCACCCATTCTAGCCGTGCCTCATATCCCTCCATTTCTCTTCCTGTTACAAAAGTTCTGATTCTCTTGAGAATGAGACCCAGTGTCTCAATAAGATTTTCACCTGTATAAATAAAGGCTAAAAAAAATAAAGCTTTTTTTTTAAACTGAAAAAAAATAATAATAAGAGGGGGCGGAGCTTATGCCGGCTCATACGGGACCTGGCAGATACTAGACTCTAAAAGACTGCGGTGATGAAACGCCATATCATGGATTATCAAGGATTATTTCTGAAACAGTATGGAGCTCAAAGGCTTTCTCTCTTGCCGGTTATACCACAAGGTGAGTTCCTTTTTATTTCCTGCTTCTTCACACACATGCTCTCTCCAGTACAGGTTAGCTCTGAGTGTTAGCGATGCTAATGTAAACACCAACCATATTACGTCAAAAACAGTCGGGCATTGTTTCTGATAGCAACGTTTCTGATAGTGCTCTGGGTCTGCCGCCGATATTACGTCATAACGGCCGCAAATCTGGATCAGCTCCATCGTAGATTTGGGTACGGAGGAAAAGAGAGAGGGTTTTATTTTCCGACGCTACGTGAATTCCCTGACACACCGGGGACACATATTTATGTATAAAAGACATCAAAAAGTGCATTTTGCATGATAGGTCCCCTTTAAATAATAGAAAACCGAAAGTAAAGCATTGAATTTAACTCACCATATTCTCCAAACATGAGCAGCGTCCACTGCTTGACCTCCACCAGTTTGGAAACCAACTTCACAGCCAGCCAGAGGAAGAGCATCCCCAGCGTGGCGTCCAGCAGGAAGTTCATCAGATACCTTGAGGAAGAAAAATCAGAAATCACGTTCTCAGTGAGACCCGTGTAACAGTTGGACCTGATGGTACTATGACTTGTTTGTGCAGATAAGATAACTCACAGGGAGCATGGGTCCTCTTCAGTGAGCGTGGACAGGAAGACGTTAGCAAAGTGGATGAAAAGAGCACCGATGGCCTGCTTTGATGTGTCATAAAACCTAGAAAAGGGGTTAAAAATAATTATTTCATTAAATATGGTTAGTTAGGTTGTTTTTTCACTTGAAAGTACTTTTTAGAAAAGGGAATGCAGAAACAGTATGATCATTTTCGGTGTTAGGTTTGCATTAACATCTATTTTTGATTGCCGATTATTTTTTAAATCTTCTGAAATAAGGATGATAAGGAAAGAAATGCAATAAAAACCTGACAATATTCACAAATAGCCAATATAAGATGTATTAGTGTCATTTGATGAATTTCTTAGAGAAATGAGGGTTCAACCAACATTTTCTTTACTTTAAAATACTTTTCTCATCTATGCAAGTGTGTCTAATGTAAGAATGTAGGACAGGAAAGTGGAAGAAAAGAAAATAAGTATTTCTGACCAGATTCTCCAAGGTCGTCTGATCCCTGAAGGCTCTCGGAACCTTTTCACTGCGAATAAAAAAAAAGAGAAATCAATCAAATAATCCATTTAGTTCCCACTAGACTTGCGTTTACAATGTAAAACCATCACATGGTGGTCAAACAAACAGCAGAGTGGGAGTGAGGACAGATGAAACACAGACATTCACATATTGTTATTTAAAGCTACCACAAAACGTGTTTCCAGGCCACCGGGCTCAGGGGGAACAGACGCTGACTGTTCCTCTATCTCGCCATCTAACAAGGTCGGAGAATGTGACTCGGCATGTGAAACCGGGGGGGGGGCAAGGCTTCCTGCAGACGTGTGAACCAGCAGAGCTTTTTCAGTGTGTAGTTTCAATATTTTCATACTTTTCTATACTTTTTCCCTGCAACTTCCTAAGGCAATTAAAGCAACATCAGCGGGATTCCTTTAAAGCTGAGACAATAAGATCATTATTCATCAGCAGTTGTCAAATCAGTGAATCATTTAAGTAATTAATAAAGCACAACATTATCTGATTCAAGTTCCAATGGTAAATATTTGCTGCTTTTCTCTGCTTTAAATAATTGATAACTGAATGTCCTTTGGTTTTAGATCGTTGGTCCAATAATACAAGTAATGTGAAGATGTCCCCTTAGGATTTATAAAAATGTGACAGGTATTTCTCTTTTTTTTTTAATGTTTGATCTAGAGACGATTAAAAAAACCTAACAAAAAACATTACTTGTAAAACTGTGACAGCTTTACTAGATATTCAGCCTTTGTCAGGATTATGTGAGTGCAGGAATAATGACAAGTCAATGGGAGGAAACTCACAAAAAATAGCTTTGAGGAAGAGCACGCCAAACACAGATAAGTAAAGGGATGCAGGCTGGGCTGTGACTGGGCTGTGACTTGGCATACCCCCACTGTGAACAGAGCTGAAGGGCTCTGCTGCACACTATAATTGGTATAAATATTAACCGAAGCACATGCTTTGACCAGGAACAACACTTGTGATCGTGCTGAGAACAGGAAAAGAAAAAAAGAGAGGAGGAGGGGTATTGATTTTGCCACTAATAAGTAACTAAGTGGAGGTTGGAGCTCATTGATCTCAATCACCCTAAAAGCCTGGCCTGATTATGCAACACTTCACTGCTGCTAGGATTATTTTTGCTCTGAACCCAGCTAATTAAATATCCATGACTACATTGACCTTTTAAATATACACTCCAATAATTAGATCATATGCCGACACACTCACCAAATGAGTGCACAGGCATTTACATGTATTATCATTTCCATGTAGCATGTTGGCATACAGCATTGGCAAAGGTTAATTGACATTAAGCATGTTGACAAGCTCTGTATTCAGACAAAAGAAAAACGTATAACATATATAATTAAGTAAGCTTATATTTAGTAATTTGCAAGTACAGCCTGTGTTGGCAAACGGGTAAGATGCTCTACATTCTCCAAGTCAGCTGCCACAGAATCACAAGTTACTTGGCAGTCAATAGCCTTTGTTCAGAGGAGATCCACACTTCGGCTGTAAAGAGGGATCTTGTTTTGTTGTTAATGCATGATCTCAAAAAGATTGTTAAAGTACTTGTGAAATTGTAATATATTTCAATTTAAGTATTTCGTTTTTAAATCAATTTATCAATCATGACTTATTCCTTGGACAGTAGAGAAAGAGAACATGACGACACTTACCTTAAAAACATGGCAATCTGTGCTGCTTCTTTGCTCATAGGCACACACACCAGTGTTTTAAGTACAACTGATTATGTACGTTTAACTTTTGTCATAACTTCAAATTCGGCTTAAAGTTATGGCACAAACCGTGCGTTTTTATATTACAAATATGCACATGAAGAAAGTATTCACACACATCGCTATCGCTGATACCACTAATAATTTGTGGAAGTGGTAGATGTTTTGAGGCGATGGAATTGAACAAAAACGGTCAAATGTAACCATAGAGTTATTTTTACATCACATAATTTATGCCCAATTTAACGAAGAACGTTTATTAACCAAATGATATAAAGAAGTGCTTAATTTGGGCATATATTTTTTCATTCGTCATATTAAATTAGCATATTTGACAATGGAATTTGGTGCAATGTTAATGATGCTCAAACGTCAACAAATCGCCACGTGGATTAATAAAGCCTTTTAAAAGCAAGTTTCAACACTATTTGGATGAATCCTCTACCTGAATAAAGACAGCAACACTATGAAATTGAGGCTGTTAAAGATATATGTATTGATACTCACACATCAGCGTACTAAAGGCAACGATAGCCAGCAGTCCCTGGATCAAGACTCCGAATCTGTCCGTTAGAGCTCCGTTATCGCAGCCGTGGGGATTCGCCTTGTTGATATCAGACATGTTTGTGACTTCAGAAACGCCACTATCCAGGAATCTTCTCACCAAGAAGACCCCGCTGTATCCGTACATGTCCATGTTGATAAAAACAACACGGAGACAAAAGGAGCTCCGTAGGTGGGCTAAGATGGGCTTAACCTTTTTTTACTCGGGAAAAACAAAGCACTAAATGTCAATTTCCAGCTTTTAATGCAAGGTAAAGTTCTCCTTTAATGTTCACAGAGGGTGATGCTACATCTTATGATGCAAAAGCAGACAAAAGAGTCGATTATCTTACTCACATCCATGTTTTGACAACGAAAACACAAACTGTCAAGTAGCACTAGGGGAAAGCGAGCTTCCGGTTAAAAGGGAGATTTCCAAATAAAAGAGATCAGCTTATCAGAAAAGCAGGAAAACAAAGGAATGGGTTCTCAAGGTGTTTTACAAATCCCACATATTACAATTTCAAATGTCGGTATTCCAACTTTATTTTTGAAATAAAATTAGCATTACTTCCTGTTGTGGTTTGTTTAAGTGACGCTAGTCTGTGCGTATCGCAGTTGAATTCTGTGCGTCAGGCACTTGGTCTTGCATGCGCGCGAGAGAGAGCCCACGCACGATAAATCGTTGTCTCCCGTGGAGATGTTAAAGGACCATTTTAGGTTTAAAACCTGACAGGTAAAGCTCAACCTCCTCCAAAGACTATATTTAAGACCTGTCATGAGAGGGTGCAGTTATTGTATTCCCTATTAGTAAATCATCTGATTAATGCCAATTTAGAGACTTAGAGAGGATTATATAACTGAAGCCTTACAGGGAGAGAGCCCACATTAATTTCCAACTCAGTGATTATAGATATCATTGGTTGTAAAAATGCTCTGATTTGCCAGGGTAAAAAAAGGTTGAAAAAAAGGTTGAAAAAATGTCATGGATAACATTTTGATTTGCATCATTCCACAAATATATCCTATTAATTTGAGAAAAGCAAAAGTTGTAGATGAATGAATGAGAAATTGTCAAAATCTGGACTTACTTTGGCCCTGAATTGTCATTTATACAGTATACATCAAGCGTCTTTATAGTTAGATGGAGGGTGTCAATACAACCACATGCATTACATATACATATATTTACATTAATGTTAATAAACTGACATTACTGACTCTCCTTCAGCTGAAGAGAATGTTTTGACATAGTAGCTTGAAAATAAATCATTTTTTGTATCTAATCCAATATGATTCCACCAGGATGTCTATCAGGTTATTTAAGAGTTTTTTTAAGGTTTAAGGATGATTTCAAAACAAGAAATGTTTATATGTAAAGCCAAAAGATAAAACAGGGAGGCTGCAGGCTCATGCACAAGTGTGTGTGTGTGTGTGTGTGTGTGTGTGTGTGTGTGTGTGTGTGTGTGTTTGTGTAGCCTATATAAAAGGGGGGGGGACATAATCCCTTCTCGTTAAAGCCTCTTCTCTGGCAGATTAATGGAGCAGTGCACACACTCCAACCATCTGTTCCTCGAGCGGCATCACATCGGCACGAGCTCCTCTTCTTGTATCTTTATAATATCTTTGTGTCTTTATGATTAAGCTCCACTGAAGCTTTTAAAATAAAATGCTTAATGCCGTTATGAGCAGTTTTGCCACTCTATTATAATAGACAACACTTATTTTGTAGCCCATTGTAGCCTATGTGGAGTATTTGGAGACTTTTTATTAAGCTGGTTGGCTTCTGGGCCCCTTAAATTAAGCAAGAGACAGAGATTAGTGGTTTATTTGAAATATTTTTCAGGGTCCATTAAGGTTGGCCAATATATATCGATATTGATATATTATATCAATATCGTGACATGAGACTATATCGTCTCCGATTTTGGAAATCTTTAGTGTTGTTTTTTACTGGTTTAAAAGGCTGCATTAGAGTAAAGTAATGTCATGTTTTGAATTTACCAGATGGTTCAAGCAGTTCCATAATTTGCCTTAACCCACTTAGTTACTATATCAACATTACTGGTGATTATTTAGCATAATGTTCAATGTGTAAATATTTTTGTGAAAGCATCAATGATTAGCCACAATGTTACCACAACATTGATTTAGAGGTATCTGGTCAAAATATTGTGTGATGATATTTTTTATCGTCCAGCCCTAGATCGAGGTATCAATTAGCCAATTTCACATTAAGCGTCACCCATTAAGCCTAAAAGTTAACATTTTTGCTGAAAAAAACGTTCATCCTGTCACTTATCCCCAAGATGACCGCTAGTATTTTTGAGGATCCTTAACCAAGTGCCTACAGTATAAACATGACTTTCACATGTCTTAAAACCATATTTATTTTCAGAAATGCCATAGAGAGGTATTTGATATATTGCAAATAGGTACTTTATACTCATATGGATCTTTTTATTCTTGAAAATTAGACCAGGTGTGTCACAAACAAACCACCCTGGGTATAAGACTGAAACGCATGGTTTTTTGTGTGAATTTTTAGGGGATTCCCAGCCAAATGTGTTGTGTAACAAAACATATTATCCTCAAATGTCCAATATTTTGTCACACTTGCCAGTCCATGAATCTCAGAAGTGAACTTCATGCATAATGAAGAACATGAAACCTGATTTAGAAAGTGCCCTTCAACAAACCTCGTGTTTTACCAGAGGTTATCACATGTGCGTTTCACTTTCTGTTGTCAGATGGAATTAACCCCAAGAGTTCAGCGGCCAAAAACGTTCATTAAACTTGAACTTTTATTGTATCTCCCTTGGCCTAAGTTATCTGTTTGTGTTGGTAATATTGTGGAAATATGTAACAATGACCTTTGAACCAAAGGCATGTACACGTGGTGCAATGCACTTCTACCACTAGAGGATACTGTTGACTTTTTTTTAGACATAGCCCTATTAAAATAACAAATTCTCAGAGTTTTTCTCCGAAAAATGTAATTGTGATAACCCAGATAAAGAAGAATTGTTATTTAAGATAATAAATTATTGACTTTTTAAGCTTATTGTGCATAAAAGCAGCTCAAGATGAAGGGTCAGTTGTGTTGCTTAGTCAGCTTTTTATATTTCTTTAAAATATTACAACTCTCATTGTAGATTCTATGATTATTCATATTTTTCTTCCTGTTAATAAAAAAAATGGTGTATTCATCATCATCATCATCATCTTTATTTAAAGAGACTCTTGGTCCATTATTACAAGACATACAACACTCAAATATAAATTAAATTATTAAAGGAAATATGTTAGCAATGAATGCCTTTAATGACAACAAAAATAACTTAAATGTAAGATAGAAATGATGCTAAATTGATGGATATATATTTATGTAGATACTTAGGTTATATCTGAACAAGTCTTATTGTGCGTAAGAATTTTAAACATCGAAACATTATGTAACATACTGTTTTTCTCTTTGTGTGTATGCTTGCATGTTTGCAATTGAAATTCACATACCATTTTAAAAACAGACTGAATAAATATATTTCTTTGTGCTGCTTCTAAACTAAAAGCAGTGATGGAAAGTAACAAGGTACATTTACTCAAGCACGATCATTACATACTGCTATAACACAATTGTACTTCCATTACTTTATTTGAGTATTTCTATTTCTGCTAATTTATACTTCTACTCAACTACATCTCATAGGCAAATAGTGTACATCTTACTAAAAGCTTGAGCTACTTAACATATTCAGATGGATAGCCAATACAAAATATACATATAAATTGACATAGTTTTAGGTTAAGATATCCAGAAGCAGTACACAAAGTATACATCTAGCTCCAGCTTTACCATTTGAATCATTATAATCAAGTAACTCAATATTTATTGTTCTGAAATAGTCTACAAGACACAAAACAGGTACTTTTACTTTTGGTACTTTAAGTATATTTTGATGCCAATACTTTGTACTTGTGGTATAATACACAGCTATCCTCTTTGTGTGTTTGGCTTTGTTGGCGATTGAACGTCACTTCCTTTTTTTGCCTGAATAAAAATATTTGTTTGTGCCATAAAAAGATCTGTGAAGGAGTTGGCTTCAAAATATCTGTTTAGTTTTTGCACATGCGCAGAAGGGAGATGCCATATTGAAACGGGGGCAGCAGCTGAAAGACGTCGCTCGCGCTGCTGTGCTCGAGGAGAGGGAGAGAACCGAGGGGGTCTCGTGAAGGAGAGGCGACACACAAACTTGGACAGGTAAGACAGGTGACCCCTGCACGCGCTGCTATGTGGAACCTTTCACGTCGTTTTCTACGATTGGTTTTTTTCGGTTTGTCGAAGGAATAAACACGGGGAGAGTTATTTCTCTCCTCCTTGGCTAAAAAAAAGGACCGAGGCTGTTTCTGTAGAAACGAGAGAATAGTCGCGAGCGTGTTCACGAGCCCAAGTTGACCAAAGTGTGTCTCACGCGCTGTAATTAACGCTGTCTCGGGGCATTCGCGAAAAATATTGCGTTGTTTTTCCTCACATGTAATTGAATATTTGGGTATATTTCCACAACATTTACATTTATAATATCATTTGAATGTATAAATGTTGTGTCTAAAGACCACGAGGAATTTTTGTTTAATGCGAACAATGAGTAACTTACGATATAAATTACTTATAACAGTTTACTCGCGTATATATTAGTCATTTGGAATTTTTCGTCACCCCTAGGTGCGTAAAAGCCATCGGAAAATACCGGACACTGCTAAAATGTCAAACCACTTTCAATATGGCGGGTTATGAGGGAAAACTGCGCCTTAAAATCTTTGAACGAGGAAAAAATAAAACGCTGACAGATAACGCGCCCGTTTTGGTTTCTTTTGATGGACACACACGAGGTTTAATCAATTAAATTCAAAGTGTGCATTTCGCATTTCCGTGGGAGTTTTTTTCCGCTGCAGTTTTGAGTGTGCAAAGTACATGAACGGAGTGCCAGCAGCCTCGGCTACACCCCTCACCAGCTCATCTTCCTCATGTGCACTTTACGTTTCCTCTTTCACTTTTATCCAAAAAGGCTCAAGCTCGCGACAAAAATCCCTTTTTAGAGACATCCTCTTTCACTTGTATCCAAAAAAGGAAGATCTCAAGCCACACATTTGTTAGGCAACACAATCTATCAGATGAATATCGTTTCCCTAAGTAAACCAGAGAGCAAGGTGATTTAAATCAACATTATTGCGTGGTATATTAATATGATAAATGCAGTCGTTATTGTTTCCCTATGGGTGCATTTGCAACGATTACGCAGATAATTGGGTTAAACCGAATCTGTTTAATTATTTCTCTTTTTGCGAGGCGGTCTGCTAAATCCGGGGTTTACAGCTTTGCATTATTGGAGGATTCCTTCTCCAGATTAAATTCGTCACCATAATGAAAAGAAACAATAAAAGACTGCGCGTTATGGAACCAACGATTAATGAATAAATCATGAATCTTAGAATTCTTATTGCTGCAAAGATATGTTTTGTGCGAGTGGGGATGGGTGAGTGTAAAGATGAAGAAAGATATGGCAGAAAAAGAGCACTTTTAAAGGTGAAAGGTAAACATATAGGAATCCTTTTCTCCACAGGGAGAGATCAATATACATTATTGATGGTTTGGATTGTTTCCTTTTTGTGCAAGAACCTCCCATTTATCATTTAGCTGCTTTTGATGAATGCTTTGTATGTAAATGTGCTGATGAATGTTTCTTTACAATCACACACTGAGCAAGTCTGCTTTAAAGAGGGAAGAGATAGAGAAACAGAAAGAGGAGGAGGTCACTTTACAGGAAATAATGAGGTCAGGGTCCATCTTCTGTCTTTCTCTTTCTGACTGTTCTTCTTTCTTTCTCTTTCTGACTGTTCTTCTTTCTTTCTCTTTCTGACTGTTCTTCTTTCTTTCTCTTTCAGGATATCTTTCTTTCTGTCTCTCTTTCTTTCAATCTTTTATTATCTCTTTCTTTAAACTTGCCTTATTTCTGTCTGACTTTCCCCCTTGATATCTTTCTTTCTGTCTCTTTCTTGCTTTCTTTATACTTCTTTCTTCCCGTTGATCTTTCTGTATATTTTCCATTTTCGTTTTGCTTTCTTTCTTACTTTACTTCTTAATATCTTTCTCTCTGCTCTCTTTGGCTTTTATGTATATCTTTTTTTCTTTCTTCTTTCCTCATCTTTCTTGTTGTAAATCTTGTCCTGTTCGAGCGATAGAATTACTAACAAAGAACTGCTAACAAAGCACTTATATACTAATAAAGGACTGGCTTATCTAAAGCCAGTTGAGTAGCACTTGTTTGGCTCTATGAAACCTGATGTACTTATATGATTCTGTTTTCTTCAAGGTTGTATCTTCTTGGTCGAATGTACTTATTGTAAGTTGCTTTAGATAAAAGCGTCAGCTAAATGTAATGTAATGTAATGTCCTCTTGTACTGACTTCTGTCTTTATCTTTCTTTACATGTACATTCTTGCTCTCTTTTTTAGTAACATTCTCTCTTTCTTAATGTTTATCTTTTCATTTCTTTCTTGCTTTATTTCCTTTCCCCCCAAACACACCCTGGTCCTCTATTTGAATGTGGGGAGGACATAGGCAAATGTTACATTTGACTTCTCCTGTTATTAGAAGACCAAAAAGTCTCAGAGCTGCAGGTTGTGTACGTGTGTGCATGTTGCAGGAAGTCATTTCCAGTCATTGATGTTAAAAAAGAGACCCCCCCCCACACACACACACACACTGCTTTCTGGTCCACCAGGAGCAGTTGCTGTTTGCACTTCATCATTTTACAGTGAGGCATGACACACACAGGCTGCATTGTGTTGAAATTAAAAACTGTAGGAAGAAACAGAGGGCAAATTGTTACATGACGGCCTCCATGTTGCCAAGAGGAAACAACTCTTGGATGGGTCTAAAAGAGGAGGACCTAATAGGGAGTAATGCAATAAAACCCAAGCCCATGCAGTAGTAGTTAATCTCCTAAATCCTCCATTAAGTATTTGGCATGGGCGGATTTAGGGAAAGGCAGGAGCAGGAGGACAACATGTGGATGCCCAGCGTCCCATCAGGGGCTAATCAATAAAAAAAAAGAACCTCTCAATCTGAGACACGAATGTCCAGAGATTAAGTCTGAGCACTTTAATCCCCCGGTGCCCAATCTGGGACGCTACAGGCCGGTAAGCTTCGTCAAAAACAAAAGCTGCTCCCAAAAAGTCCCCTTGTTTCAAGAATAAAGCAAATATCTGACATTGATAGCAACCATGTGAACAAAAGGCTGCGGAGGACTCAGTTTGACTTCTCAGGGTTATCAAACTGGTTAGGAAGCCAAATAAAGAACAACTAATGGTGCTGACAATGTCAAAAATAATTATATTACATGTTTTCCTCGATGATAAGGATGATTATAGTTCCATTTATATTGTTACCACGTTTACAATAGAGCTGCAAAGGTGAATAATTACTTATCAACTGTTCAATTAATTGCTTAATTACGTTTTTTTTAAAGTCTTAATTTTCTGATTCAGGCTTCTTAAATGAGAATATGTCCTGGTTTCTTTACCCCTCTGTTAAAGTGGATTGATTATCTCTCAGTTGTGTACTTAACTAGATGGTTCAATTATGTCATCTTTGCACTTTGTAGAGCAAACCACTAATTGAGAACAGAGTCAACAGATGCATCAATATTAAGTAAGTAGTTTGCAAACTAATATTTAAGCTGTAACACCTCCTGAATATGTATTTTATAGGACACACAATGGGAGAAACATACATGTTGTGTTAGCTGTGTGTGTCAGCTGAACCAGGGAATCTGTATTAAGTTGATAAGAAGAGTAAAATATGTGACCTTTAAATTCCATGAGACGTGCAAAAGTTGGCAACAATAATAAAGATGTCAGGGTGAATTTTAAGGAAATGAGCAATGCAGTCTAAAAGTATTTGGTCACTCAAACATTTCCTGTTTTTTCTGACTCCCATCTGGGATTTAAAATGTTTTCGTTTAAAGGTTCTTATACTGTATTGAAGAATAAGTTTGCGACAAGCAGCTCACTTTTTTTATACATATTGCGTCTAATTTCTGGCCAGTGAGAAGGACAATGACAGGGCTTCAGTTCCTACACCTTTGATCTGATGTGGTTGTTAGAACCCTGTAATTAAAGCTCAAAGTCACCACTTTAACCACATCATCTCTGTTTCATCTCTAATGCAATGTGATGGAGTATACAGCCCAAACAATGCTAAATGTTTTTGGAAAAAGGCCGCCTATTGAATTGTATGTGTTTTGTAATAAACAATAAAAAAAAAGTAAGAAAAAAAAAAGTACATTTGAGAAGCTACAGCCATATTTGTTTGGCCGTTTTCGCTTCATGAATAACTTTTTGTTTGTTTTTTAGAGTATAAAATGGCAAGGAGATATCTCTAAATTGCTTGTCTTTCCTAATCAACAGCCAACAACCTAAAAATTATAAATTGACATGGATATAAATGAGAATCTTTGTGCATTTTTGCTTCATTAATAACCCATTCAATCATTTTCTGATTGTTTCAACATACATTTAGTGTGATGCAACTATAAACACATGACATCTTGGGTTTTAATGTCACTCAGTGTACAAATAGCTTTACTGAAGTGTTGCAACAAGCAGATGCAGAATCTATCTATCATGTCATGCTGTGCGAAAAAACTGCCACTAAGGGGAAGTTGAAAGGGACAAAACCCAGTTTGAGCCCTGCTGTGAGCTACTACCAGAGTTCAAATGATCTTTAATGAGTGTTAATGCAGAGGGCTGCATGCTGACGACAGCGGGAAGATTGCAGGGTAAGAAACAGTGATAGTCTGTGAGGGGGGGGGGAGAGGAGAGGGGCAGCTTCATGTGAGCCAAATTAGCTCAGCTTGTTGTTTACGCAATGTATGTTTGCTAGAGCCACTGTGGGACGTCAGGAGTGTGTGAGATGGGAGGGGGGGGGGCATACACACTCACAGGGTTGTGGAGACTGTCACTGCTTCCTCTCAGCTCGGCAAACACAGCCAGCTCCAGCATTGTCTGAGTTTTCATCTCCTCGGGATTGAAAGGGTGTTTTTTGGACCATATCTTCATAAAAGGATTGTTGGATTCTCACATGTTTCGTCTGATCTCAGGATGTGCGGCTTGCCTCATCACAGAATAAGGATATTATCTCGTGGATTTTATTGATTTCAAAGTTGTTGAACCTTAAGTTGTTTTTGTCTTGATTGAGGAAGCGCTCTGTGGAGGCGGTGTTAATTGGCAGGTGGATGAAAGTGCGTTGAAGTGGGGGGGGGTGAGTCATTGGTGATGTTACTGCATGACCTACTGTGGGAAAACCACCAGGCAAGTGACAAACAGTCTGTTGTTGATGCGAAGAGGATCATTCTCTCAGTTTTGTGCTAATGATTCAAAATAACAAGTTTCAGATGATATTGTCTTTAAGATTTGCTGTTTTTACTCCTTTTAAAAAGACATATTTTCTGTAATGCAAAGCTAAGTACATTTGAGGTTTATGACACAAACCCGAAAAACGAATTGTTTTCATGTGTCTATATCTATATTTGATTTATCTAAAATTCATTAAAACTATAAAAATAACAATTTAATTTAGTTTTCAGGAATATAAACCAACTGTTCTAAATAACTACTTTGAAAAAAAAAAAAAAAGCATAATATGTCTGATTTTCCTCAGCATATGTTTGCGTCACAGTCACTTATCAGAGTTTAAAATGAGTGATCAGCTCGATCACACTCTGAAAAGTGCTCTAAGGTCATCTTCACAAGGCTTCACATCTTTATGGTATTACCTTTTTGTTATTTCACGAGACATTTTGACAAAGAAAGATTTGCTAATGGTGCATTAATTAGCTTAACTAATGAGTCATTAGTGATAGTGACTTTGTTCATTTGTCATGGTGATTAAAGCCCAACATTAGTCAGCTCACATCCGTCGTGTATTTGTGTAATGTGCACAATTTCCGTTTCCTACGTCTGTATACATATTTGTATGTATTTAATTATATCGTTGATTGGACAATTAACTTAACCACGTTTACATTCATATCTTTATTTGATTTATTTATTTTACTGCACATGCTTACTTTAACCTTTTATGTTTATATCAGTTTTTATTCTATTTTTTTAATTAATTGTATTCTTAATGAAGCAACTGACAGAACCCGATTCCTCCCAGGATAAAAAAAGTATTCTGATTCAAACACATGTTGTCATATGTCCTCTATTATTAGGTTTCTGTGACATTACACTAAATTCCTTTGTTTGTCCGCCTGTTGTCTTGCTGGTGTTTTTCCAGTTCTTCTGCTGTGTTTGACTCTGTTTGGTTATCTGATGCAGTGTTGCTGTGGTATGCAAACAAAAGGCAGACAATATGCCTAACCTGACATTACAGTATCACAGGCTTTCTACGCGTCTTCAATGATGCTTCAAATGAGTTTGAGTGTTTGAAACAGCAAGACCTTTGGAGTTTTGTCTTTCTTACACTTTGCTCTGGACTTCCCCACAGATCAGCTGTCTTTTCTCTTGATCTTATGCTGGTTAAGTTAAGATTTTTCAAAAGTTTCCTCCTTCTCCTTTTGCACTTTCAGCCACAGTGACGGTCACTGTTCTCAATAACTACCCACTTGCTGTGTTCTAAAGAAACTGGAAATGCAAAGTGCATCATTTCCTGTCTTTATTTTTCCAATAACATTCTTACTGAATAGTTTGTGTTTATTTTTAGCAAATATCAAAGCTGTTATGTACTTTCTCTCCAGTTCCACTCACTGTTGTGCTACTGTAAGGGGACTTTTCTTTTCAAATGTCACGGATTGTTTGTGAACAATGGGCATTATTTGATAAATCAGCACATTCACTTTTGTTTCCTTTTCTGTACCAGGGCAGTCTAGGACAGTGAGAGATGCAGTGAAGAGAAAGTGACACTCCTCAGGTCAAAGGGTAAAGTCAGCAGGAAGTGGAGGTGCAGGATGCAGTCACAGGAGCAGCCGCTGGCCCTCACTGCAGTGACGTCACTTTATTCCACCAATGGGAAAGAGGAAGAGGTGAACACAGGTGAGGAAGCTTTATCTCCGTCTGAAATGTGTTCCCCGCCCTATCAGGTCAACAGATTGGAATGAGAGACTGAATGAAAATGCATGAAAGGAATCTGCAAAGACAGCTTTAAATATATTCCCTATGTTATAACTTACCTTTAGATTACCTGTTATTGTAACGGTTTAGATATTTTCTAAATCTTCCCTTTTAAAATCGTCCTTTGATTATCATTATTATTATTAGGAAATAATGACAGGCAAAAACATGCACATGATGTGTTTACCCGCCCAGGGACTGCAGAGGGAAGTAGCTCAATCCGGCATCAATTCTTTCTTCTCTTTTTGAGATAATAATAACAAATAAAATGTCTGAGTATTATACAAATTCTCACCCACAAAAGAAACGTTTTTTAACGTTAAACATTTAAATTTCACAACACATACTCCTATCATTGTTACTGTGTATTTAATTGCGCCCTATTCAAACAGCCTCAAGACAAGGCGGCTTCTTTTTATGCCAACGTCTGATTTTAGATTTTGTTCCTTCAGATGCAGAATCCATGGAGGAAGAGGTGGAGTTTAACTGGGAGGAGTACATGGAGGAGACGGGGGCTAATGCCGCCCCTCACACCACCTTCAAACATGTGAGTGACTTGTCTCCACCTCACACTTGAAATCTCGGTGATCCTTTAAATACAGCCTCATAGATAAGTACCATGGGCAGAGATCCTTTAACGACATATTACAGAGAGCCAGGCTTTGGCATCATGACGCTTATACTTTTCAATCAAGTGTTTTCATTGGCTTTGTTCCCGCTATGACTAACAAGTTGTCAGACAAACTTTGCCGGTTTTTGAAAAACAATGAATTACTCTTATGTAACAGAAAAGAATGCCATGGATTGAAATGAGTGCTTTCAAGGAAAGTTATTATTCGAAGTCAAATCATGTTCATGTGCAACATTTAATGGTTTTAACAGGACCTTGTTTCTGCGAACGCTTTTTGGCAATATTATAAATGAGACATGTGGATTACAGTGATATAGATGGAATATCAAAATGTCTGGCAGAAATGTCCATTGGAAATTAGAATTCAATAAAAAAAAAAATCTGGTTATGATAAATATTGCGATTTTGGCATTTCTGTGTGGAAAAAAAAAGCCTTCAAATCTTCCTTTTATTTGTTTGGGTCATAGATTTAACATAAATGGGGCAGAACTTAAAACAGATGTTTGAAATGTCATCTATATTCTCAGTGTGTATGCAAAACAGAAGAGGGATAGTGGCTTAAAAGTAAAGGTACTTTTTTTGGGCAGTGACTGCTCTACTTGAAACTGGAATTCCTTCCATAAATTAAAGCACAGCCTGCTGAGTTTTTCAGTCAGGCAGTCAGTCATCAGCTGAGAGGTAATGTGAGCAGCATGTTGCCATCAGCACCTGGGACGCTTGTTTCAGATGTCAGACTCACCTGTTTAATCTCTGCCTGCTGCCGGGTCTCGCATCTATAAAGGAAAACAATTATATTGTATCGGTTAGTGTCCCTATTCAGTATCTCCTGGAAGTTAACAATACATATGGGGGCTGAACTGAAATTGTATTTCTTCTAAATATAATAAGTAATTGGTTTTCTGCTATAGGCTGTTGTTTTTTAAGCTTTGATCACGGAGAACTACCAACATGATGATGCGTTTACTTTCTAGGCAAAGCTGAAGTCATTTGAAAATATGCATAATGGCCAAATGACAACCAAAACAACAATAGATTTGAATAGTGAAGAAGCATCTTTTCATTTCAAGTCAAACCCAATGTGCTCAGAGTTTGAATGCAGGGCACATTTCTTTGCCATATTTATTTCGTTTTTTTGTCATTTCATACTAATCTTTTTACAGAAAAGTTGTCATACACTTGATTTTAGGAAATGTTCATAAAACAACGTTAAATGTTGAATACCCAAATTGTAGAAGCAGTTATTTTATGTCTTCTGTGTTTCTAGAGAAAACTTTAAATGATGCCTCATTGGCTTTAAAGAGTACACATGTTGAACAAATAGCTTGGGTTGCAAACTATACTGATAAGAAGACTTAGGGGAAGTGGAGGATCCTGTAGTCTTGGAGCATGACCTGAACTAGTGGCTAAAAAAATGTTTATACATCTTGTATAATTTTCCAGCACAAACTTTTGCTTGTAATACCCCCCAATAAACTCAGCCTGTTACCAAACAATTACAAGGCCCCTCTCCGTTAACATCACATCACAGGAAGTGGGCCAGATGGGCGAGTGGCGTTGATGCAAGGTTTTTATCCACCTCATCGGACTCCAGAGCAGCTGTCCTCCACCATGAGGCTCTCAGGAAAAGTGGAGACTTGTATGAAGATAATTTCAGGTTTAAAGGAGCGTGTCGGTGTTTCAATTTCTTACATCACTCGGAGCGATGAATGGTAATAAGGGCGAGATTAGAATATATGGTGTGTTTCTACAAGATGTCGGACAAAGTGTATGTGGTGATTCGGAGCGGGCGAGGTCTCTCGGGAAGCTAAATTGCCTCGTTGGTAAGTGGATTGAGTCACTGGGAAACAGACCATGAATTCCCCGGAAAAATGTGATTCAGTAAAGTGCCGCTCCCTCCCTCTCTCTCCCTCTCTCTCCCTCTCTCCCTCTCTCTCCCTGTGTGCCTGGACAAATTGAAACAGTGATTTCTCTTGGGCCTGTACACACACAGACACACAGACAGACAGACACACACACACACACACACCCCATAGCTCTCTTACATAAGCCAGCCGGAGTGATACAGCATTGTTGCAGCAGGAAGTCGCGGGGTCGTTTGTATTGTGTTTATTTCTAAGATGTTGGCTTTTTCCATTCACATGCGAGTGTGTGCGTTTTGTGCGAGGGTTGAATGTGAACATCCTGTTGGGTTTGTAGTGTTCTCCACAGTTGTATAGCGGCCTGTGGCTATGGTGGAAACGCATTATGCCGCGCTGCATTCACCGCTTTCTCTGCACAAGGACAAGTGGAGAGGCTGTTTTCTAAGAGTTGGTGGTCATTAATTAGAACTGTTTATAATTACAACTCAATTGGGAATGTTACAGTTTAACCGTAAAATATGGGTGATATGGAAAATATATCTTAATATTATTTTCATCATCAAGTTATCTCTTAATCATTTATTGATGTAAGGTTCATTTTGTAACATTTGTCTTGTTTTGCTTGTTTTATCCAGCTTAGCGTAAAACCAACAGACATTTAAAATGATAAACACATAAATAAACAGTGAAAAGCAGCAGATAACATTACTTTTTATCCAATTAATAAAGATATTATCAGCATTTTGTTGGCTAATCGTTCAATACAACTTCCCTTGAATTGATTTTTGGAGAATGGTTTTATTTGAGTGAAACTAAAGGGTCTTCCCAACATTTTTTAAATAAAGTTAGATATTAAAAAAGGGGACGAGAGATCCTGGACAATTTACAAAATACAACTCAACGGGATGTTTTTCTTAGACCGTCGGTGCCTCCATGACTTGAACAAAGGCTTACTGTTAGTAATTTGAAGTCTCAGTTAAATAGTTTACCCTGTTAACACCATCCGTGTCATTTTCTCAGCTTCGGAGCCATAAGACGTAAAACATCTGTTTTCACAGGAAGGGTTTGTCCTCACATAAACTGACCTTGTATGTGTTAAATGAGCAGAGTTCCCCTTTACACTAAACATTACATGTAAATATATTCTGAAAGCACCAACCATCTCGAAAACATTACCATCTCTTACACGAAAGCTTCGTTTTGTGGGGGAAAGTTCATAATATGAGGCCGGAAAGTGAATTTGACTGTCGATCCCACTGGTTTTGATAACATTTAATTACCAAAGTGGATGTTTAGTTGTGCACCAACAGAGGGAACAGCACGTTCAGTCAGGTTGTATAACCAAAACAAAGAAAGGCAAACATCAAACTTATTACCCAATCTGTCCATGAAACTGCCTCCCTGGTTCACCTTTGATCCAGCAAACTTCCTCTAGTTGTGTGCGCACAGTTTTACAAGCATTAGGAGATTAGAACTGACACTTGTTGAGCACAATGTCATTTTAAAATAAGACCAAGGTTGTTTAAAATAAGACATACAGTACCTCTAATGTTGTGTGGTGCTTCTTTCAGATGGAGATCAGCCTGCAGAGCAAAAAGAGATATTTTACTCAAGGGTTTTTTCCTTTACAAATGACAAGGCGGATATACAAGAGCTGCCAATTATTTGATCTTTGGCAATCGACCAACATTTCAGTTCTAGATTGAAGAGTTTTATATTATAACCCAAAATCTGTTTATAGTTTTATAAAAACCCTTAAAACTTCAGTTTGTTTCTATATGAACACAATTTTATTGACAACATTTGATCAGTGTTGGTTATTTTTGCTTACCTTTGAATATTCTTTATTCTGTTATGGTTATTTCATTTGAGCATTTAAGATCTGAAAGCAAGTTTTCAAGTACTTTATTCAAATCTAAAGTTCAGAGTTTAACCAATGTTTCCTTACTCACCATATTGGATTCTGAAATAAAGCAATCAGAAAGGCTGTAAAGTGACCAAACCAAAACGAGGCAAACATCAGACTTATATCAGACCAACTATCTTCCTGTTTAAAACAAAATGTCGTTATAAACTAAGACCACTTAAAGAAGACATACCTGTAATGTTGTGTCTCCTCAGGTGGAGGTGAGCCTGCAGAGCAGCTTCCAGCCCGGCATGAAGCTTGAGGTGGCCAATAAGAGCAGCCCGGACTCCTACTGGGTGGCCACCATCATCACCACGTGTGGCCAGCTGCTGCTGCTGCGCTTCAGCGGGTACGGAGACGACCGCAAGGCCGACTTCTGGTGCGACGTGATGACCGCCGAGCTGCACCCGGTGGGCTGGTGCACGCAGAACAACAAGACCCTCATGCCCCCCGAAGGTAGGAACACACTGTGTGGTACATGCACTCACCTGAACCTGGAGTTAACCAAGACAGCTACTTTTATCTGAACACAAAAGGTTATGTTTGAGTTTCATATCATTGTTTATTTTAATATTACTGGCAGGACTTCAACAACCATTTAGTAACAACAAAAAAAGGTGATCGTAAGAATCCTGAAATAATGTTTCAAAGTAACCCCCGATACACAGTGACCTTTACTGTGAGAACTTCAATATCAAACGAGCTTCATCGGTATCAGCAGGTAAAGGCTTTCAAATGTAATACCGGCAAGAACTGAGCATTTCCTCCAATATCTTGCATAAATCTAAAAATCTGACTTAACTTTAAGTAGTTTTTCTTTTTTTGCCCAGTCAATGTGTACATTTACATTTGTGTATATTTACTGTCTGCATCCGCCACAGTTACACAACAGTAAACAAAGAGAATATGGTAATCCACTACCAGAGACTTGATGTTCTTTAGTGCAAATATCTACTTTGTTAACTGGCAAATATCAATAATTGGCATTAGAAATGAACTACAATTATTTGAGAATTATCAGGGTTGTCGTCATGGGCTGAGCCTATAGAGGACAATTTCAGATTTTGGGCTTTAAAATAAATGTTTAATTCACTTTTTTTGCAAGGATAAAATATGGACAGTTTTCTCCGTAACCTTAAGGCACCCCTTTGAAATGATCCTTTCTTTAAAAGGTTTTATGAACAGCCTTGTGGTGAACTTTGGACTTCAACATGTCCATGTCAAAGGCTTTTTCATCCTGACTGTAGAGAACTACGATTGAAATGTTTGGCATGGAAGGAGACCTAAAGAAAAATAGGACAAAGCACAAAAAGGTCACATAATGGTTGATTCACTGCCTTTACTCAGGACTGTCAGCTTGAGCTTAATGCACTCAGACTAACAAGAGAACAGCTCTCACCTTCACCTCTCAAAGAATGCCTTTTATTAACTGAGTGGACGGACAGGTTTCCCTCAAAGTGCTTCGAATGTTAAGACGGCTCAACTGTCATTTATCTCGCTGACACATCACACCCTCGTGCAACGCAGGACAGGTCACTTCCTTTCTTACCATCTTATGTTTCTTACCAACATCTCTCACAGAGCATCTGTTATTGGTTAGATTCCCGAAATAAGGTCACATGCTTACGAGATTTTTACATTTTGTGGTATGACGTAAAATATGTCAGTAAACACTCCACTGGAGAATGTCTGAAGCTTTTACGCCTCTTTAAAAACTAGTTGCTAATAAATGACTCAATGAGATGACTATACGTAATCAGGCCAAACATTAGCCGCCTTTAGCTTAGCGGTGATGATGTAGTTCATTTATATCATTATGTCAGCTAATTACTTCTGGAGATTGCATTAACGCTTCAACAATCATACAGTGGTGTAAATATGAGATTAACCTGCTGAACAAAATGTGTAAGTATCATAAACGTGTTTGCCACAGATCTTATTTTCTAATTTAACAAAATAATCCCATTGGCTTTAGTCGAGGGAGCCCTTGCTACGGTACCTTCCGGGTTGGCTGACAAAAATACATCATCCCTGCGCTCTATTCTTCCTCCTGTCCCTTCCACAATACCATCAGACACTTCACCTGCAGCGGCCCTCAGATAGATGACTCACCTCCTCTGCCTCTTCACGTCATTTATTTTTCCCACACTTCCCCGCTGATGGATGGCGTGCTCCTCCGTTGTTATGGAGACGACCTGGATCTGTTTTCCTCCTGACTCCTCGACCTCACATCACGTGTCCTTTATACAAACTTTCTCTTTTGCATTTTACAGCAGCAGTGATCTGTTTCAAAACAACTCAAATATATACCAGCTTTTTGAAAGCTTGTATACGTCACCAATCAAGATGAGAATTAAGACTGAAGGAAGTAGTTCTTTTTTTTATTTATCGAGCAATCTGTCAAACTTTTCAAGATTAATCATCCATACAATTTAAATAGTAAATAAATGCCCATCACAACTTCCTCAAGCGGACATATTCATATTTGTTTCAGAACTACAATCCAAAATGTTGAATTACTTTGTGTCTTCTTCTTTAAAAAAGTGAGTTTAAACCTGTTATCTTATGGGTAGTTTTGATGATATTTACTTTGATTGAAAGAAAACCTGCCATCACAATGCAGTGACATACAGTAGGAGCCATATTGCTTTGTATGTTACCATTTGTATTCAGAGAACAGGAAATTAAACATAACTGCAAAATGGGAAAAGGGTTAATGATTCAGACAATGTTTTACTCCATTACACTTCTCTAACCATCATCATAGTGTTGGATCATACATGAGGAAACAGCTTCTGAAGTAATATTACAGTAGCCACACATTTATATTTTACAGTCCTAATAAAAGATCACCAAGCTACCATTAACATCTCTTCCATCTCATCTCAGAAAGCTCATATTTAAATTCTCCTTTTTTCTTTTGATTATGATGGACGGCTGACATCTGCTTGTTTAATGATGCAAACTTGAGCTTTAATCCTGTAATGAAGGCATATCTATATTCCCTAAAGAGGCTTCTGCAAGATACGATCAATTTGTCAAATACGATAAAAGAAAAGAAAGTACTTTGTTGCTTCATTTCACGGCTTTGCATCATGTTAGTGCACATTGTGTGTGTGTGTGTGTGTGTGTGTGTGTGTGTGTGTGTGTGTGTGTGTGTGTGTGTGTGTGTGTGTGTGTGTGTGTGTGTGTGTGTGTGTGTGTGTGTGTTGCTCCATCAGCTGCAATATGAGGGATAAAAAGAGTGTGTATTACGGATGGGACTATATGGGGTTTTGTTCTGGAATCAGGATAAAAACTCTTGAAATAATGAGGTCAAATTTCATTATCGGGCTGATAGGGAATATTTATTTATTTTTATGAATTTATATATAGGTAGTGACGTGGAATACATTTGCATAATTGAAAAAACAACACAATTATAAAAGTATTATATTGTATTTATTTAATTGTTTACATCCAACATTAAAAATAATGTGCGTCCTCTCTGTGCTGCAATAGGAAAAGATGGATGCAAAAATGGCTTAGTGCCATTTTTAGTTGATTAACTTCCATTATCGGGGATATCGGGAATATATATTTTGATATTGCTGTATAGAAGGGTTTAAATGTTTTGTGGCAATTATTGTACATTTGGTTTTGCGTACCATGAGCGGGACAAATACAAATAAAAAAATAAAAAATAGAGCCTGTTTAAAAAAAACAAATACAGAAATGATCAAACTATTAAACATCTTGACCATGCTAAAGATAACTCACTATCTGTCACAATTGTTTAGGTCAGAATAATCATGACATCACATTTCCATACCTGTGTCACAGTTACCTGTTTTATTTGTTTTCTTTTTGTTTTCTGTTTCTCAGATAACATTTACCTAAGAAAAGGTAAGCCGCTCTAACAGTGCCTCATACTAACTGCCTGCTCTCTTTTAGTCAACATGAAATCATCTGTGTGTTAGGCTCAGAGCTGCATGCTTCCTCCTTCTCCTCTTCCTCTTTCACCTCTACAGGAAGTGACCTCACTGCTCAGTTGCCCTGCCCCCTATTGCATGTGACTCCTCTCCAGCTGTAGCAGATAACACACACACACACACACAGCTGTTTGTGCCAAGCTGTGCTGGAATGATAACTAGTGGTAAACGCAGGGAGAAATGCATTGCTTTGATAAAGTGACCTCCGTTCATGTGAAACACAAACTGTGCCTTATATCAGGAGAAAAACATGTCGCTAGTTGGTGAGTCAAGTAGAGAAATGTTTGTGTAAAATGTGTCCTTGACTGATCAAATAAAAGTGTGTCAACAGGCGTTACAAACCTTTAACTGCTGATGCTATACCAGTCTCTGTAACATTCATCAAATACATTATTTGTATTATCTATTCATATATAATATAAACATACAAACAGACAGTCCAGAAAATAAACAAGTGTATGTTTGGGAAAATAACATGAGAAAATGAGGTTTAATTGACTTCATTATTGAATTGAATTATAAGGATTTAAAGGATTCAGAGTCATACAATAGCTACAGCATAGCCAACAATGCAACATCAAATATGATTACTGAAAGAACAGTGCAAATGGTGCAAACCGGTCTCTATGGTGTGGCTTTGCCGGCCACGATTGGTTGCTATTGGCAAACGATAATTATTTCTGACCAATCAGTTTGTCTGCATGGATTTACTTTGCAGTCTATCTTTATGATCGGCTCAGCTCGCTCCGAGCCTTGGCTGAGGTTTTTTCAACCAAAAAAAAACAAGATAATTTGTCTGGTGGAAAATAAAAAAATCGAGGTGTACCTTGCAGTGGAAAGGCACCATAAAGATGCATTCACAGCATGTTTCACACTCCGTAAATTAGTCATTGCAAAGACTCGGATATTGGTATTATTATGAAGTCATTTCGGCCTCCTTTTTAAACTTTGGCTGCACTGAAATCACAGCAAATGAATACATCTCCTTTTTCCATTGACTTTATATGCAAAAATGTGCTTTGCATCTTGTACTCTACACGAACCAGCAGCACTGTGTTCCTTAAAGGTTCCCTATTGAACACATTTGCTGAATGCTCTCTCAATGTTACCGTTGGTGCTACCATGGTTTCTACCCACTACCTTTCACCCCACTTCAAAACATGATAACAGCTGAGTGTTGCAATTAGACAAACCACATACTACAAACGCACCTCAATCTCTCTGTAAATCTACTTGAACACACACACACACACACACACACACACACACACACACACACACACACACACACACACATTGACTTGGGAGTGACAGCTAAATTCAGACTTTTGTTCTGCAGGTCAGAAGCAGAAGAAGATAGCGGTGGTCCAGCCAGAAAAACCGTAAGAACAGACGTTTATTTATCAAAACTGAACACGGTTGATGTGTGAGTTGACTCGAGTTGAAGCTCATGCTGATGCATTTCATTTAGCTGACGTTTTTATCCATATGCTGATACACTTTTGAGGTAAAACATTAGGTCCCCTTTTTCAAGATAGCATCTGTTTTATTAGCCCCGTCCGGACAATATATGGGCGACGGATTAAAGAAAGTGGACAAACATAAATCAAAATGCTTCGAAATTCCTCAAAGTAGTCAAGGATTAATTTAATAATTGACAATTAATGGTGTTACCAATTGTTCATTCCAGCTCTTGTTGGCAGAATACAGAAACAACTTATACAAATGCTTTCTCTTTATCACGTATCCTTTCAAACGTATTTTTAATGTCCATTTAACATTCCTAGAAACTGCTCCAAATGTGTTTTCAGAGTGCTTCATGCCAGCTACAATGGAACTAAAACATCACTGTAATAACAACAGCAAACACTGTTTTACTTCAGTGGGTTTGAAATAAAAAAACTTTCATTCACGGCCGTTTGTTTTCCATCTTTCTACCTGGGAGGCAAAAAAGAAAAGTAAATGTTTCTTTGGAAGAGCCTCAAGGTTTTTTCTCGTTCTGTCACTCCAGAGATATTCATTGAAATGGCGGCAGAAATAGCTTTCCCGCGGTGCTGATTGATTTTGTTGACAAATGACATGTTACAGCGTCAGGCTGGGGATCGCAGCACGGGAACACGGGGGGGGGGGAATCTGAGCAACACTTTGTCAGATCTCTGTTCTCAACACCAATTTCATTTCTCTCCTCGGGGAATCTCTTCATCAATACTTTCTAAACATAGCTGTGATCATATCACACTGCTAAAATTAGGCTAATGGACAATACATCGTTTTATTGAACTGTCCTTCTACCCCAAAAATCTATAGGCTGTGAATCACCTTTTTTATTCTAAACACGTTGAATTAAAACAGGCGATGGCTGTGGTTCAAATGAAAGTGATATAATTGTATAGTTTTATTTCACATTTAGCGCTTAATTAACACTCTGAAAACCCACTGAGGAGCAGTTTGGATGAAAGCTAAATAGACATTCAAGGAAAATAACTCTTTCAATTTAACATTCAACAAATGATACATGAGAGGCTTCTTCTCAAAGGATTATTACATCATTGAATTTAATGTATTTTTATTGTATTCATTTATAGATTATGTTTGGACCAATCTTTTTTAACACTATTTTTTTCTTCACATACTGTAAAATAAATTCTCTTTGGATTTTAATCTTTGTTTTAGTTTATACATAAGTAAAATAGTTTGAATAATACAAATAGTTTGGATTCTGAATAAAGTGGTTAATGTATTGAATAATGAAAAGACAAACCCCCTTTAGTAGCTCTGTAGTTTCCTGTCTGCTTAGATTATTTCATGGATTTTCTTATGGATTATTTGACGGTATTTATGGTCTCTCCTGCAGGTTGGCCCCGTCCCCAGTGTTAGAGCCGACTCCTGTCATCTCCTGCCAGCCCGTCGCCATGGATCCAGGTAATCAGCCACGCGTTACACATGATTCATCTGCGGTGATTAATGCTAACGAGCTGCTGGGATGAGAGTGGAGGGGAAACCCCGCTCTGCAGACACTTGTAAACACCGGTTTGTGTTCCTTTCGATTCATCATATTGAGTGTATGTAGCCCGATGTCACAAATGACACATTCCTCTGGGTAAAAACATAGAGGATCCAAATGGCACAAATGAGAAGGTGATCACATATCAAGATAAAGGATCCAGGAGAATGTCTTCCAGGTGCAGCTACAACAATTATAATAATGTTGTCTATGATTCACAATTATTTACTCGTTAACACTTTTTTCAAATAGTCTGCGTATAAATAGCAACTGGCCACATTATATAATATTATGCCCAAACCTTTATTGCCTTCAGTTCTCAGAATATAGAGAGGGATGAAACTGAAAGGTTTTGTGTATGTTAGAGGAGATTTCTGATTAAGATTTTGTAAAATTCCAAACATTATTAAAGATACTTCAGGTAACAACAAATAAAAACATTAAGATAATATGTTTTTGAAATAAACCTATCTGAAAAAATGATGTTTCAATATGCAAAGAGGCATTCATTAATGCTAACTTTGGGTAGTTTTAGGAGAAACTCAGACCACAAATAGACCATATTAATACATTAAACACCCAAATGTGTATTTTGTTTATGTAATGTAAGGGAAATAACCCAGAATGCCAAGTGCATGAAATGCCTGTAGTTCAGCACGTTATGCTAACCATTCATTTCAAAGTAAAACTTAAAATATCGCTTCATATTTTTACCTTTCAACCTCTGACCTTTTGTGTGTACTTTAGTATATTAATTGTGCACTTTTACCAAGCAAAGGACACACATGTCATAATAGTAAGCGCTTTTTATATAAGCGGGTTTAAGGGATTAAAGACAAAATGTAGAAAAAAAAGGCAGAACTAAAGACATTTGATTGATCAAAATGTGCGTTTGTTTTGGGTTCCTTTAAGCTGATCAAACTGGGAGATAGGGTATTCTGTTTGCAGTGGATCTGAATGTAAACAATAACACATAACACAATAAGCAATGGATCTGAATGTAAACAATAACACATAACACAATAAGCAGTGGATCTGAATGTAAACAATAACACATAACACAATAAGCAGTGGATCTGAATGTAAACAATAACACGTTTGTTCAAGCAGAGCGGCGGGCTGAGGGTTGTTTCCAGGAGACCCTTGCCCCCAAGTTCTCTGTTTAAAAACCTCCCACTCGCTCATGCATATTCCCCCTCCCCTAATTACTATTCACCACTAGCGTTGTGTTTCCAGGTGTTGGTGGGGGGGGGGGGGGAGCATGTTTGTTATGTCGACTCTTATTTATCTCAAAGGGGGGAGAGGGGGAGCGTGCACTCTCAGACTCTGCACTCACCCCTGTGGTGCAATGCTTGGAATTGCATACGACTGAAATACAAGCATTTAAGAAATACAATGATAATGAATAATTATGATAAATACAAATATGGTAACTTTACATGAGATATTTTTCTCTGTGCTCTTTAAAGTGGTTTAGAGTAGGGTGGGATCAGTTGGGTAAAGGAAGGTTATGCCGCACATTTCCTTACAAAAGTCAGGATTTAGCAAAATGTTGATTTAGAAATGTAATTAAATATACAATTTAAATAAACATCCTGCACAATATGACCTGGCCACCAAAAGATGCTAAATGTCTGCGATCCAAAATAAAAAAAACGAGTGTACTTATGCTTAAAATAAGCAATATACGCAATAAACTTGTCAGTATACTCTTAGTATAAATATATGTTTTTTGTGTGTATCTAGTCGGTGCAGAACTTAAATAAGGATGTACTACAGCAGCTGAGGGCAAACACACATTTGAGCAAAGACTTAATCTTCAGTCAAAACAACTACAACGTTTTTGCTTTGATCTCAAACGCCACAAACCACAGCTCATGTTTAGGCGTGCTTTTATTTACATGAGTCCATGTATTAATGATTAGTTCCTTAAAACACGTTTTAGTTGCTTGTGACCCGCAGGTATCAGGAAATAGAGATAACATTTACTTATAGATGACTTTTTGTAAGTCTAAAAGAGAATATGTTCACCTTGCACACATCATATTTCCACATGACCTAATCCCTGTCTGTCCTCTCTTTCAGGCTCAGCTAACGGCAGGTACTGCTGCTCAAAGATTTTCGTCAACCACCGCTGTTTCTCCGGCCCGTACCTCAACAAGGGACGCATCGCCGAGCTGCCGCAGGCTGTCGGGCCCGGGAAGTGCACGCTGGTCCTCAAAGAGGTGGGCTGATGTCAGGAGCCAGCTTTAATCAAAGAGTGGCACACTTTCAAAGGGAGGGAGGAGGCAGATTGGAAGGGGGGGAGGAGGTGGAAGACAGAGTGTGAGACAGCGATGTCTTGTTAACCACCTGCAGTGTCTTCATTTTAATGTGCAGAGCTGTCACTCAAGAGTGTTTACTCGTACACACCGTAACAACTGCTCAGCAAAACAGACTGGCCATTTCTCCAGAGACAGTCTGCACACACACATGTTTAAAGACACTTTGTTCTGCTTCACATCCAGTTACTGTGATTTCTTATGGAGGATTGTTCAGTTACAGGTGACTTTCATCATGTGATACTTACATTAGGTGATTACTGATTGTAACTGAATACGTTTTTAGAGTAACACTCCCAGCCTGTTCTCTTCAACCAGAAGTTTATTTTATGTGTTTTGCCTCCAGCTGCTCAGCATGCTGATCAACGCCGCCTACAAGCCCGGGCGAGTCCTGAAGGAGCTGCAGGACCTGGAGGATCAGAGCTGGGACTGCCAAGAGGAGACCCTCAAAGCCAAGTGAGGAAAACCCCAAATACTGAGACATGCAGGAAATCGTTCTTATAATAAATCAGAACAGATAATAACCCTGGACAAAAGGCCCATGGGATTTTTCCATTTCTCTTTGGAATATTGCATAGAATAAGCTCGTTGGCAGACCAACAATCAAACCAAACGATTGACTTTGGAGAAACCCTAAGTGTGAAAACTAATTTCCAGGTTTAGGACGCATTCCTGCAGCACTCTATTCGGTCAAGTTATGGCTCTGGTTATTTTCAGGCGCTATAAAGCAATACAATAACATGACTTTATCTATTATAAATCATCATAAATCAATCTTAGACCACATCCTCCCTCAAATCAGAATCAGACCTCACAGAGCCTCTCCATTGAATTTATTTCTTTGTTCCTGCCGCGGTGTGTGTGTGTGTGTGTGTGTGTGTGTGTGTGTGTGTGTGTGTGTGTGTGTGTGTGTGTGTGATTTCCTTCCACTGCTGTGTGCACAGAGCCAAATGATTCCACAGGCTCCAGGCTGCGCGCTCTGCTTTTTCTAATCAAAAACTGCCCTGTTTTTTTTTTTATATCTGGCTGAAACGAGGAAGAGTTGGCCACGCAGAGCTTGTAGTGAGTCACCTGTGTTCGGCTGCGCAGAATCATGTTCACATTCACGCATGGATGCTTTCACACCTCGACAAAAAGGAAGAACTATCATCTGTCGGGCTTTCGATGCTCGGACAGTGAAGTCCTCCGAGGATAGTTAACTAAGCAAGGAGAAACATTTGATTCTTGATCCAGACGATCGGATCACCCTTCCTAACCTTTGCCATTAAACAGGAGATTGCCTGCGTAATCCTCATCAACCGGATGATCTCAAATCACTAAAACAGCCCACGTTCACATCATAACTGCAAGGGCAATCACCATCCAGTGTCAAACGCTCTGATGTATCTCTGATGTATCTCTGATGTATCTCTGATGTATCACTCTCATTATGCATTGTTCTGATGAATACAAGTCTAATCCCTGCAGGAATGAGTCCTCAGAGGCCTGAAATAAGGTCTGTGGTTAATACAAGCTTTAAAGCTTTTTACTTCTGGCGAGTGCACTTCAAAAATCACAACAAGTGGAGTTGATATGTGGAGATATCACAGAGCCTATTTCCTGCAAAAATCCCATTGAATATAACCCGCGGTAAACCTAGCCATGCTAACTTCTTACAATAATACGCTACCCCTCCATCCCATGTCATCAAAACCTCTCTCTTTCTATACCTGCAGATATAAAGGGAAAACCTATCGCTCCACCATCCGCATCGTGCGCCTCGCAGACCAGATCGCAGACTTCTGTCGTAAAGTGTGCGTGAAGCTGCAGTGCTGCCCGAACCTCTTCAGCCCCCTCCTCATCGCCGACAAGTGCCCGGAGAACTGCTCCGTCCAGACCAAAACCAAATACAGTGAGTGTGTGCAATTAAACGCTCATCACTACCGACACTTGAAGTACACTTGAGGATGCTTCTGTGCTTTTCCTTAAGTAACGTTTTAAAATGCACGACTTGTAATGGAGTGCAAGAGCGACTGATTGAAAGGATCTGAGTATTTCTTCCACTTCTTTCAGCCCTAAATCAAAGAGTGTATAATTGCCGGTGCTGAGCAGCTAGGATGTGTTTTTGTTTTGTGGTGTGTATTGTTTTCAACATCTGCTGTGTTTGCAGCTTATTACTACGGGAAGAAAAGGAAGCTCTCCAAGCCGATGGCTGGAGAGGAGGCGACGGAGGCCAAGCCGACGCGCCGCAGGAAGAAGAGGAAAGCAATCTTTGTGCAGAAGAAGAGACGCTCGTCCAACGTGGACTACACTGCAGCCGGCTCACCACAGGTTAGATAACACCGTGAGACGGAGTGCACAGTCATAATCCGGTTTATAAATAACATCATCCCTGAGACAGGAAGGAGAGGAGTTCAATTTAGGTTAGGCAGCCTATGTGTTTACTCACTAGGGTGCTTTTATATGTTACACCACTACAATGTGGAGCACACTAGCAAGACTAATGTACACTTGATGTTGGTCATCAAGATCATTAAAGTGAGTGAGTATTAATATTGAATGGAATGAAGCGATTAAGTTGGGTAGTGTTGCAAAGTAAACATTGTATATATATAAAAAAAAAAGAGGAAACAGTAATAAATGATTTGATCAAGAGAAAATACATTTACAGCAGTTTTAATAATTATTATTTGTATGTGTATTTGTATATGACAAAGCAACTGATGAGCAACATGTCGGACTGTTGATTTGCCTTCAACATTTTTTTTTTTTACATTCTAGACCAAAATATAAATCAATACATTGTTGGTAGATAACGTGACCTTGAATAAAACCCTTAATTATAGCCTTGGTTTTATTTGACCAATAATTCCGAAGTGAAGCTTTTTATTTTTTGGATTGGCTCTAACATGTTTGTTTGGCAATTTTACTTTAAAAAATACTTCAAATATCATTTAATGTTCTCTTAGTCAACTGATCAATGTATAATATCAGCTCTACAACAGCAGCACAAATATATATGGGTTTAATTGAATTGAACAAAAAAGTCTGAAAGAAGCTTCATACATCCGTATCAAATCTATTAATGTTGAGGCTTCATCCATTTTAAATAAAAGAAGAACGACAACTCAAATACTGACATCCAACAAAATACTGACATCCAACAAAATACTGACATCCAACAAAATACTGACTTCCAACAAAATACTGACTTCCAACTAAATACTGACATCCAACAAAATACTGACATCCAACTAAATACTGACTTCCAACAAAATACTGACATCCAACAAAATACTGACTTCCAACTAAATACTGACTTCCAACTAAATACTGACTTCCAACTAAATACTGACTTCCAACTAAATACTGACTTCCAACAAAATACTGACATCCAACAAAAATACGTTTGTATAGATATTTGATATTTAGCTTAATAACTACATGTTATTGTTTGGTAAAGGCGTATTAGCTATAAAAGAAAATAGTGAATATTCAATAGGAGTCAGTAGTCTGTGTGTGTAACCCAGCCTCAGCCAGCACGGTATCTCATTTCAATCTAAGTCTCACTTCTTGCTCTCAGTGGAAACCTGAGTGGAGACCATGAGTCATTGCTTTGAGGAAAGAGGAACTTTAAACTAACGTCACCTCTGTTCCTACCCAGCTTAAATATCCCTGCCTGTGTCACATCAGTGGGAAGTGTTCAAGTTTCAACATCATTTTTGGCTCTTTCTGTTATCAAATATTTGTGCAGAGCGAACCAGGACAATATAATGTGTTTGCTATTGGGACACACGATAAGATGGCTCAATCTGGTGGATAGTGAATAGCTAATGGCTTCCAAAGGGGACATATGAGTCGAAGAACTTGCAAATGTAAAAATGTACGCACTAACACAGCCAAAGTGATCGAAACACAAATCTTCGCAGTGAGTGAAGATCAACGGTTAGCCCAAAACACAAACCCCCCCCCTGACTCCTCTGCCTCCCCCCTTCAGGACAGTGAGGAGGATGAAGAGATGACGTTGCAGTCAGGCAGTGAAGGCACCAGCTCGGAGCCCCGTGAGGACCACCCTGACGGCTCCTCGGCGGAGGTGAACAGCAGCCGCCCCCGCCGCGCCGCCTCGCTGCGCAGGGCCTTCAGCACAGGGGAAGCTGCGGGGGGGACCGAGGCCCCCGAGGGCCGCAGGAGGTCCACGCGCTCACTGTCCACTTACAACCAGAACAAGTACCAGCCACCGGAGGGACAGGACATGCAGGTCAGACAGACCAGTACACATGTATTAATGAATGAATAATGGAGCTTTGTAACTTCTGGCTTCTTTTCTGGAAACAATACAATTCTTGTGAAAGTCAATCTTAGGAGCAGGCCTTATTAAACTTCTTTGAACTAGACGCTGATATTTAAACAACATGGAGGGCTTATCCTTATCTGTCTTTTGTATACTACATTATACTACTGTATACCTGACGGAATATTAAAGGAACAAATAAAATAGCCTAAAAGGGTTGCATTTTGTACGTGTTTTAACAAAGTGATTAGCACATTTTCTAAAGACTATTTGGGAATATTTTAAGCCTTTATTTGATAAATATTTAAAATGTTTAGCAAAATGACATGCAGCAAGTTACACGATGCCACACAAGGAATATTTGCTCATGGATTTTGTTCCAATGTGGTTATATTTTTTCGAGACCCATTTTTAGGGTTGCAAAGTGAGCCAAACAAACTACGCAATTAATTATAGTTGATCAGGCATACAATTACGTCTGACATAATCATCCACAGTATTGTTATTGTGGTGGATTAAATAAATCAGTACATCTACAGCAGTTTCACCAGAGACTGAATGAGTTGAGTGATTAAAGCAAATGTGTTTGTGATTCTGTAATTGACTGTGTGTGTGTGTGTGTGTGTGTGTGTGTGTGTGTGTGTGTGTGTGTGTGTGTGTGTGTGTGTGTGTGTGTGTGTGTGTGTGTGTGTGTGTGTGTGTGTGTGTGTGTGTGTGTCAGATGGACGAGGAGGAGGATCAGCTGGTGTTGGACAGAAACCCTCTGGAGTGGAGTGTAGATGAAGTCGTTCAGTTTATAAACTCGACTGACTGTGCGTCTCTGGCCAACATCTTCCAGGAGCAGGTACACACACGCACGCACGCACGCACGCACGCACGCACGCACGCACGCACGCACGCACGCACGCACGCACGC